CCCCTCCCGCGGCTGCGTGGCCGCCTGGTGGGACATGGTGGAGCGGAACCTACGGTGAGTGCACGCCCGGCCCGTCGCGTCCCGGCCCGGCCCGGCCCAGACGGCTCGGGCGGCCAGGGGAGGGGCAGGGGTGCAGCCAGGACCGAGGTCGCGCGCTGTGATGGGGATTGGGGAGGGGGGGACGGACTTCGGCGGTCCCCAGAGCCCTGGGAGCTCGGGTGATCTGCAGCCTTATCGGCAGCCTCAACCTGGGTTTGGTTTTCCGGGAACTTATAACTTCTGGGGGCTTCTGAAGTAAAGAGTCAAGAAAAATGGTTCAGGCTTCTACCTGCCTCTCTTGGATGAGCACTTTCCTAACATATAGAATGGAACTAAAGAAATCTAGCAGTATACGTTGTGATCTTGGATGGCATCCTCTTAGGTCTAGGGCCTGTATCAGTGGAAAAGGACCAGAAAGTTCCTGGGTAGCCCCCTGAGGATGAGCTCTCTGGATTGTGTTTCAAGAACACCCCTCCACTAGGCTATGAACGTGGGGCACTTTGAAGCCATAACTTGACATTACCTAAGTCAAGTTCTTACGTTGTTTAAATCTAAAATGTCTGTGTATCTGCGGGTGTTTTTTGTTTCTGTTTTTTTCCTTCTTCCTTCCATGAGTCCTAGCTTTAAGCTGATCTTTAATGACCCGAATCCACCAGCAACATATTGCCAGTCTTGTCTGAATGGAAGCCATAGACTGGTTGGAGACCCTGGACCCAGAACACCTGGGTGTTTTGCTTTGTTTTGTTGCGGTGGGAAAGAATCGGCATTTTGATTTACCTTCCTTCTCTCCATTCCTTTGGTATCATTTGTGCTGATTACAAAATATTCAAGAATCACATCCAGACACAGGAGACCTCACTCTGGGATGCCGGGAGAGATGATGACGAACAGGGATCTTTTTCTTTCTGTCCTTGGTGTAGAGGGCAGCTCCACACCAGCCTAGTGGTGCCAAGCCCAGGCCTGCCGGGTCTGAGTTGGATCTGAACACCAGGCAGAACATCCTGACTGGCTGCCCTTGTCCCAATGCACATTCACAGGACTTCCCGCCCCGATAGAGTGGTGTGGGAAAGCTGGCATCTACCACCTGTCTCTTTCATGGTCTCTGTGGAGTTGATGGCTGATGATTTAAATCATCATCCTTGGGCTAGGAAGGGCAATAAATGGTTCTCTGTTAGGCAAAGAACCAAATCTGCAGTTCAAGCTCTAGGGACTAGCCCACCTTGTTGATGATGGATTGGAAGATGGGGAGTTGGGGACCATCCAATACTTGCCTTACTAATTAATGGAAGGAAAAAAAAAACGGTCTTGGCCGGGTACAGTGGCTCACACCGGTAATCACAGCACGGTGGGAGGTCAAGGTGGGAGGATTGCTTGAGCCCAGGAGTTCAGGACCAGCCTGGGCAACATAGGAAGACCTTGTGTCTACAAAAAATAAAAAAATGAGTGGGACATGGCAAGGCATACCTGTAGTCCCAGCTATTAGGGAGGCTGAAGCAGAAGGATTGCCTGAACCCAGGAGGTCGAGACTGGTTGTAGCAGGAAAAATAGAGAGATCGTGACACCGAGACTATTATAGGAAGTGGCACTTTATTACGCTGGCTAGCACAGAACAGCGGGCCGAGAATTTCATGCATCCAAATCAAGCTCTAGCACCCCAGAACAGGTGACCTGGGGTCTTATACCCTCGTTTAGGTAAGGGAGGGGGGTCAGGGGGGTCGTGTTGAGTGATTACATACTTCCTTTAGAATCTTACAAGGTTGTATTTAGCAAAATCAGATTTTTCAAAGAACAAATGGTTTCCAGGAACTGCAGGCTTGTAAACTGTCAACTTCAGAAGGGAGGTTTTTGGATAAGTCTGTGAATTAGCCACTTTTTTTGCATATCTATTAAATGGCTAGTCTTTGGGCTATTTGGCCTTTCCCAAACAAAACCTGCCTGGTGCCTGGGGCGGGTCTTTAAAGTTGCAACTTGCCTTTCAAAAGGAAATAGCTTTAACTGCTATCAACCTTTCCTTCTTGCCGCTGGGCTAGTGGCAGCCCAGGTGAGGCCAACTGCTGATCCCGAATCAGCCACAAGTGTTTCTGTGTTTATTCACTCAATCACACAAGAAATATATTTGAGCATATGCCGCCTCCTGCCACATGGTGAGCTGTAGTGATGCCACTACACTCCAGTCTGGGTGACAGAGTGAGCCCCCAATTCAAAAACAGTCTTAGTAGAGTCCTTGCTGTGGCCTGGCATTGCTCATAGCACTGGAGCTGTTATGATGTGTTGTGAGAATTAGGGAAAGCATTTCATCATACGATATTCTCAGTGATTATTATTATTATTATTGTTTGAGTTGGAGTCTCACTCTGTCGCCCAGACTGGAGTGCAGTGGCCGCTCCCGGCCACCGCAGCCTCGACCTGCTGGGCTCCGGCGATCCTTCCGCTCAGCCTTCCAAGTAGCCTTCCAAGTAGCCGGAATTACAGACATGCGCTAACACGCCCCGCTGATTTTTTGATTTATTGTAGAGATGAGGTCTCGCCAAATTGCCCAGGCGGGTCTCGAACCCGCGGGGCTCAGGCGATCCACTCACCTCAGGCTCCCAAAGTGCGAGATTACAGGCTGAGTCACCGAGCCTGGCTAGTGATTATTTTTTAATACCTTAGAAATCTACTTATTTATTTTACCAAAATTTCATCAGATACAGTTACTGCTGAAGGCAGGTGGGCCCAGGAGAGTAAGTCTCTACTTGTAATTGGTTTTCTTCGAACTAGAAAAATGGGGAAAATGCGCTCAGGAAAGAAGTTGGGGAACCCAAAAGTCCACTTCCCTCCTCATTGCCCCCCATGTCACCCCAGGTTGTCACAATCCTAGATAATGGTCAGAAAACCCCTGAGAATGGGCTCATAAACACCCTCGTTCTTTCCACAGTGTTGGTTCTTCACCATTAATCGGGCACCATTCTGGGCCCTGGGCACACAGCAGCAAAGAAAATGGGCAAAAGTCCCTACTCTGCGGCGCTCACATGGATTATTTTCAATTGTAAATCCCAAAAGAGAAAGGCATCCTTCCCCTTCCCCTAAAGCTACCAATGAATGCTGCTTCCTTCTCCCTTACAAAAGAAAAACACCTTTCTTTCAGTTCTCAACCCTTGGGTCAACACGTAGTTTATGGAGCTCAACCCTGTGCTAGACAGAGTGAAAGGTAAAAGAAGCATTATATACCATGTGGTCCTGGTGGTCTGGGGCCTGGCATAGAGTAGGAAAGACAGGACTAATAATGGGAAACTATCAGAGATCAATTAACAGCCTACTGAGACCTGGATTATAATTTGTGGGAGGGGTGAGAAGAGAGGATAGGTCCCCATGGGAAGATCTCTCCAGAGAGACTTTGACAAGAAAGAGAGACTTGAGTGGGAGAGAAGGTAGGGGTAGATTTGGTCGGGAGGGTGTCACCAGGTGCTAGGGAATCAACACAAGCTGGCTGAATGACTCGGCATGTAGGTTGGCTATGCAGCATGTCTTCATATTTGGAATAGTTGTCCTGCCAAACGTGGTTAGATTTGGGCTTCCAAAAGTGGATTTGCAGCCGCCTTTGAGCGTGCACGATTTACCCCATCGCAGCTCAGACTCCACCAGGCTTCACCGTCTGGAATCATCCAGCTAGGGTCTGTGGGCCCGGCAGGATGTCTTGCAGTTACAGCCACAGCCGATCAAAGGGCAGACAAAGGAACACCAAAGCACCAAGGTGGCCATTTGATGTGGCTGGCCGTTAGAGGGAATTGGGTTGAAACTGCATCTTCCACTCAAATAAGGTCTATTAGCCACTGGTGACTTTTGATCCCCCTACTGATCCGGAGGAAGTCAAATTGACAACACCTAGTTAAAAGAAGCTCTTTGCATTATTGATGCCCTGAGGGACCTGGTCCCTGTTCACTTCCTGCAGAGCTTCTCACTCAAGTGCCTCAAGCTATTGGAGAGAAGGGCTCCATATGAATTATTCCTTAAAAACAGAACCATATTTCCCTCCACCGCCTCTGCTTCCCAAGCAGATCTTCAAAAGATAACTTAGCGGGGGACTACCCTGCCTACCTTCAAAAGCTATCTTAGTGGAGACCTAACAGGCCGGGTGGGTCTGGAGAAGGAAGACAGCAGGAGCCAGCCGTCTGGAAGCAAGCTCAGAGGCTCAGACTTGGGTTCAGTTCTGTCCATTGGCTTGATCTGTGGCTCCAAGTGGCTTCTCTGGGTTTTGATCAGTCTCTCTTTTTTTTATAGTTTATTCAAAAGTAAAATAGAGAGAGAGAGAAAAGAGAAGATTCACCTCCCCAAGGGAGAAGAGGGGGCCAAACCTTAGGAAAACATGGTCTGGCCATAGCTTGAAGAGCATGTGGCCACACCTTTGATCTCTTATCTCTAAAATCAGGACAACCACAGGAGCACAAGGGTGGGATCAGCAGATGCTGGACTTTGCTTGGGGAGGGAGGGAGGGAAGAAGGGAGGGCATGTGGCAACACACTGGGTGCCTGGTCCTCAACTGGGGGGGAAGGAGGGCACTCTGGAAGCCCAAACTTCACCTGCATGCAACTGACTTATGTAGTAAATCCTCACTTGTACCCCTCAACCCTAAAAGAAAAAAACATCAGGACAACAATGTCTTCTCCTTCCTGCAACCTTCATGGGGGCTATTTTGAGGTCTTATGAAACGTTTTCATTTCTTGGTTACTGATCTTATGAGTAGGCAATTGCCCGTGTATGATGTATGTGAAAAGCTATCCATTTCGCCCATGTATTTTTTCTACCGCTTGCTGAACTGCTGGGAATTCATCAGAGACTCATTATCCTTTCCCTTCACGCCTCTTCCAGATATATGTAAAGTGCTCTGATTTTGAAATCATTAATACTTGAGAGAGGGTTGATTTTTTTTAGGGGTGTTTCTTTGATCACTTGGCTATCAGAGGGCTCCTGAGAATACAGGAGCAGGAAGGGGAAGAAGGGAAGAAAGGGACCCTGGGAAAGCTAGGGTGCAGCAGGGTGTCTTAAACCAAGATTCTCTAAGAGCAGAATTTTGCCAGAGGCCAGCCTGTTCCAGGGGTTCATGTTTGCGTACATGGATGGTGGGGACAGCTCACTAGGACCATGAAGGTTCGTTGGAGATCATCATGGGACTCTGGGGTCAGACAGACCTGGGTACATGTGCCTCTATCATTTATTGGCCCGAGACCTTGGAAAGTTTGCTTAACTTCCCAGTCTCCTCATTTGCAAAGCAAAGGCAGTAACTATCTTCTAAAACTCCTTTAGCCTAGCCAGGAGGTCAGGGCAGGGGGAAACAATCAAAAATGCTTTCTTAGGCAAGGTGTAGTGGCTCACACTTGTAATCCCAGTGCTTTGGGAGACTGAGGCGGGAAGATTGCTTGAGGTCAGGAGTTTGAGACCAGGCTGGGCAACATAGTGAGACCCTGTCTCTACAAAAAAATAACAAAATTAGCTGGGCATGATGGTGCGCTTGTTGTCCCAGCTACTCCAGAGACTGAGGTGGGAGGATCACTTGTGTGATCCAGAAGGTCAAAGCTGTGTTATGATGATGCCACTGCGCTTCAGCCTGGGTAATACGGTGAGATCCTGTTTAAAAGGAAAAAAATGCTTTCCAGCCCTCCAACCTTACCAGTCGATTACACTGAGCAGTCTTCATTTAACATGCCCACTCACAATAGGAAGAGTGATTTATCTTTTTATTTATTTATTTATTTATTTTGAGTTGAAGTCTCGCTCTGTCACTCAGACTGGAGTGCAGTGGCATGCTCCCAGCCACCGCAGCCTTGCCCTGCTGGGCTCCAGCAATCCTTCCGCCTCAGCCTTCCAAATAGCCGGAACTACAGGCATGCGCTACCTCGCTCGGCTGATTTTGATTTATGGTAGAGATGAGGTCTTGCCAAGTTGTTCAGGCAGGTTTCGAACCCGCGGGCTCAGGCAATCCACTCGCCTCGGCCTCCTAAAGCGCTGGGATTATAGGCTGAGCCACGGAGCCCGGCCAGAGTGATTTATTTAATGGATGATATGGATAAAAACTGGAAGCAGAAGATGATGACATTCACCTCCTATATCCCTTGTCTCTCAACGGTGGGGCACACTCTTGACCCTCATGAGAGGTGTGGCTTGAGACAGGATGGCATTAGTGACTCTTCTTGGACAAATCCTAACTTGTCTGCTGATGGCTCCTGCTTTGGGTGGCTTGTGTCACAGGGAACAGTAGCGTGAGCAACATGCGCCCGCCCCCATCCCACTCCCTAGCCAGGCTTCATCCCTTTTCCCCTCGGGTCTCTCTTCTTCAGGGATCTCACCTCAGAAATGGGGGCCTTCTCTCACTGGCCTGTTTTTCCTAAGACCCAGCCAAAAGAGAGGAGACAGACTAATGACAATCACAGCTAACAAATATGGTACTGAGTTGTGGTACGACTAAACACTGTGGCAAGTATTAAACTGTCTGAATCCTGTTTACTGATGACTTTGGGGTCCAGAGTTGGCCTTCTGTGGGGCTACATGGAGGAACCAAGCCTGACTGGTGCGTCCATTGTCCCTTCCCCTCCTGTCCCCATCATGCCCTGGGTTTTTCGGTGACGGGACAGGGCCCTGTCTTACTGCTCTCCTTACCTGGTTTTCTCTTAGTGCCCAGTCCTATGTGCCCTATAGATAGTTACATGTCGTTGTGTAAAGAATTTTGCTTAAATGCCAAGTTACCTGGACAACTCTGTTGACTCTGTTAGACTCTGATATCTGATTTGGACCTTAAGAGAAAAAACAAGCCAAGACAAAACCTGGGCTGATTTCAAAAACCTTGTTTGTTTCCCAATATCTTGCAGATCTTTTCCACACTCCTGTTCAACGCTTGGAAGAAAAATTGCTGCTCTGTATGACAGCTTTACTAGTAAACCATTAAAAGAACACATTTTCCCTCCTCTGATAGACATGCTAATTTATTTTAATGTTTGTAAGTATATCCCTTCCATGAATTTGCCTGTGTAAGTTTTTTAGAACTAAAGAATTCACTGCCCTTGAAGTTGTGATATAATAAAAAAATACATGTCAGTCATAAAATTGTGGCTAGACTTAAATGGTCTGAAACTTATTTGATATTGACATTGAAGTCTAGCCTAAATCCTTGCAAATTGTGGGCACTAGAGAGACAGGTGGCCTTGTGGGTGAGGCTTTAATTCAGAAGCCTGGACTGCCTGAGCCCGTGGATTCGAGACTCGTCTGGGCAACTTGGCGAGACCTCATCTCTACAATAAGTCAAAAACTAGCCAGGCATGGTAGCGCGCTCCTGTAGTTCCAGCTACTTGGAAGGCTGAGGCGGGAGGATCGCCGGACCCCAGCAGGT